CTCCTCCTCCTCCTCCTCCTCCTCCTCCTCCTCCTCTCTTGGGGCTCTCTTGGAAGCCTCTTGGGCCGTCTTGGGGCGATCTTTGGGGGCTCTTGGGTCGCTTTTGAGCGTCGGGAAAACAAAAAAGAGGAGAACGCCCAAATCATGCGCAAACCCAGAAAAAAAGAAATCGATGGTGTTGCCCTCCTGGAGCCCTCTTCGAGGCCTCTTTGGGCGTCTTGGGAGTCTGTTGGGGCCGAGGGCTTGAAATGTCCGTTCGGGTTCCCGGGGCCGCCCCGCGCGCGTGATCTAGAAATCTTGGTTACCAGCAGCCGGAGATTTTGGCACAACTCTGGCCCGTTGGGCCGGCGAATTTTCGCCAACTTCTTCAAGGCACCTATCCGAACATCGTTCGACATCGTGTTGGCCGATCCGGCTGCCTCATCCCAAGCAGACGTGCCAGAGATAGTGAAAAATGCATCCCGGTTCTTGTCAGACACTCCGACCGGCGCCGTTCTGTGTCGAGATTTCTGAGGGCTCCGTCCGAGGGGCCGCCCAGTGCAGCGCCAGGCAGCATGGCTCTCACCCGCCGGCAGGTTTGCGTTGCTACCGCCGCTCGTGCCATACTCTTTGAAGGGGCCCAGGGACACACAAATTCGCCGGCCCCACGGGCCAGAGGCGTGCTAAGATCTCCGGTAACTACTTAACGCGTAACAGTATTTCTAGTTCGTGCGCGCAGGGCGGCCCCTGGGGGGCCCCGGACGAAAAGTACCCCGGCCGACCCCTGGCTGGGTCCCGGGCGATCCCCAGGGGGAAGGCTATTTTTCGCCACCCCTCACGAGGATCGTGGCCTCCGAGGGGGGGGCTGCAATCGACCACCCCCCCTCCCGCCCCAAGGGGCCCCCAAGAACCCCCCAGGAGGCCCCAGGGGGGGCCCAATACACCGCCAAGGAGCCTCAAGACGCTTCCAAGAAGCCCCCAAGAAGCCCCGAAGACGGCCCCAAGAGGCCCAAAATAGCGCTCCAGGGCCGGCGGAATGAGCGAAGCGATTCAATAAATAGACACAACCCCCAGGATTCCCCACATTGTCCAATGTTGTCTGGGTTTTCGTCTCCCCCATATTTTTCTGTATTTTCGTGGGAGTCGATGATGACATTGTCTCTGTGTGTTTTTCCCCTCCTGTAGAAAGCAAACCAGCTGAAGGAGCGCCTGCAGACCGGCGCCGCTGCCACGCGGTAAGGCGCCCAGGCAACAGTCCAGTCATGGCATCGTGCCCGACTGTATCGTCTCGGCTGCGAGCTGATGTCGGTGCAGGAGTCGTGAAGTGGATGGCCTGGATGCTGCACAAGCAGCGCCAGCAGGCTGCAGCCGACACGCGCCCGACGCTACCTGCAGCTGGGCCGAATACCAACTCTGACGGGCCAGTGAAGCTCTTCGCGATAGAAATCGACAACCTGCGACGCATTCTCCGTTCAGGTAGCTCGTAACGCACGGTTTGGAGATCTTCTTGATGCAATCAGGAAACGCGTCCGTCGCACATTCAGCCTGGTTTCGGAGAGTGGCACCTCTCGGAAGCACCTCCGCGGCGACTGCTTGGTCAAGGACGGCCCCGACTTGGATGCGCAGTCGGTGTCCCAAGCAAGCGTTGCACCTGAGGTGCTACCGCCCGGTGCGGCGGCGCAACACCACAAGGCCAGAACCCTCAGCAGCGCGACGGTCTCGGATGAGCGGCACCAGGAACAACAACAAGCAGGTTCGGAAGGCCGCGCCAAAGTGCGCAAGGCCTAAGACGATGCCAGCACCGGCATCGCAACAACTTGGAGCCACGTCCAAGGCAGCTGGCGCGCCGCCGTCTGGACCCAGGTCGTCGTCATCTGGGTATGCGTTGCCACCGGGCCTGCCCATCGGAGCGCCTCCGCTGGCTCGCCACGCAACGTGAGCACCGTGCATTTCTGCACGAGTATGCTGAGCGGACATTCGGGCAGTTTTTCGGCACGATGAAATTATCAGCTTGGAGTCATGCTTGCATTTGTTATCGTACTTTGGATGGGTGACGGGATTCCTGAATCCATTGCGTGGCACTGGGAACTGCTGCTTTTGACCCAGAACCTAGTTGACGGCCGTTAGTTTAGAGCGAGCGTGCGTGTCAGACTTCCGATCTCTCTCTTCCCTGTGTCTTTGTCTGTCGCGTGCCGCTCGCGCCCATCACTGACCAAATCCTTCCGGCCGCCTTTTCGCCATAGCGCGGCGTGGAGGCGTGCGTGAAGCGACTAGGCCTAAGGTACAGCCACACAGTGGCTCAAGGTACCGCGGCAAAAGGTGCTTCCCTTTCCCCCCCTCCCGCAGAGAAAGGATCAGGAGGGGGTGAAGGAGCATGGTGAACAGGAAGGTTGCAGGAACTGTGGGAAGCTGAAGCAGCTCCTCCTCCTCCTCCTCCTCCTCCTCCTCCTCCTCCTCCTCCTCCTCCTTCTGCTCATCCTTCACCTCCTCCTCCTCCTCCCCCTCCCTCCTCTCCCTGCCGACCCGCGACTAACATGGAGGCGCCGAAGGAGAGAGAGGAGGAGGAGGAGGAGGAGGAGGAGGAGGAGGAGGAGGAGGAGGAGGAGGTGGAGGAGGAGGCCCCTTCACCCCGCTCCTCCTCCCCGCCGCCTGCCCCCCGCCCTCCCGCCTCGCCCCCTGGCGGGGCGGGCCTGGACCGTGCGCCCCGCCCAGCCGGCTCGCCCGCGCGGCGGCCCCCTTCGCCTTCAGGCGGGGGCGGGCGAGGAGGACGGAGGACGAAGATAAGAGGATAAATCGGATAGACATGATGCCTCGGGTCCTACTTCTAACCCTCAAAGGTCTTTAGAACCCCCTCCAAGAGGAGGAGGAGGAGGAGGAGGAGGAGGAGCAGGAGGAGGAGGAGGGGGGCGGAGGGGGAGGAGGAGGAGGATGAGGAGGAGGAGGAGGAGGAGGAGGAAAATGAGGAAGAATAAAAAAGATTAACCATCTTCCAAAGTCCTACCTCTACCGTGTAGAAGGGACCTGGCGAGGCCCTGGAGAGGTTACCCCATGGGCCTACCCGTGATCGGTGCTGGCCCTTCCACAACCGATTCAAGCGACCCTGTGCATCGTCCCTGTGACCCTTGCACTCGCTGTTGCTGAGGCTCTTCCATCGCTTCTGAGTGCAGCAGGCGCATACCCAGAGGGTCGATCCGCGCATTTTTTAATGAAAACGCGCATTTTTGAAAAAAAATGCGCATTTGTCTTTTGTTAAAGATTTTGATATTGTGATCTGCTGATTGAGAAAGCGAAGGTCTGCGCATTTCTATATCAAGCGCCCGGACATCTCGCAACAGCGATACGCGCATTTTTTCGAAACAAACTTTTTCAAAAATGCGCAGATCAGTTGTTGAAAATGCGCATTTCATGTGTCGCAAACTTTTTAAAAATGCGCATTTTAAGGCTCATTGCGCGAATGTATACATGTACGTACGTACGTATACGTATACGTATATATATATATATATATATATATATCTATATATATATATGTATGTGTGCGTGTGTATGTAATGAATATATATATATATACAATGATATATGGATATATATGTATATAGATGTAGTATTTCAATGTGTGTGCCGTGTGTATATATATAGGGGAGAGAGAGAGAGAGAGAGAGAGAGTGGCACAGCGCGCCATACGCAAATCTAACATGTGATGTTCGGCGCGGGCGTCGTCGAGTGAATGTGTCGCGGCACGGCGGTCCAGACCACGAATCCCAGAGTCCGAGGGAGGGGCAGGGGGTGCATGGAGGGGGGAAGGGGGGGGAGGGGAAGGGAGGGGGGGGGAAAGGGACGGGTGGGGGGGGGTAATGTCTGCGCGAGCGTGTCCTGGTCGGCTTGAGCACCGATGTGGAACCGGATCCCGCGCGGGGCAGCAAAACAAACTGACGCGTCGGTGGATGCGGCGTATAATCATCACGAGCGTGGCCGTCGGCGCGGTGTTCGGATGGATTGGGAGGCACGGGAGGGCGCAGAGGGCGGGGGGAAGGGAGGAGGGAGGGGAAGAAAAGGGGAGTGCGGAAAGAGGCGGCGGAGGAGGAGAGGGAGGGGGATGGGGGAGGGGCGGAAAGGAGGGAGGGCGAAGGGGAAAAAGGGGAAGAGGGTGGGAGGGGTACGAGGCAACGGCAGAGGAGGAGGAAGAGGAGAAGGAAGAGGAGGAGGAGGAGAAGGAGGAGGAGGAGGGAGGAGGAGGAGGAGGAGGAGGAGGAATATTAGAAGGATTGAGGGGTGTTTTTCTTTAAAAAAGAATATTGTGTTTGGCCGTCGCGCACATATGGCACTGGGCGCCGATGCGAGGGCGCGATGTCCCAGCGGAGTTCAGGCGAATGGGCGGCTTCGGAACTCGGGGGGGAAGGGGTGGTGAAGTGCCAGGTGCCCGGACCCCTGGATGGCGCCCCCTGGCACCGCCGTCAGCGGCGCCCACCCCTCGAGCCTAGAGGGCACATGATGTGATGAGATGGCCAGCCGAGGTCAGAATAGGGGTCCTCCAAACCCGTGGGAGACGCAACAGATGCCACACCGCCATGGTCACGAACCCCAATTGGAAGGGGAAGGAGGCGGGGAGAAGGAGGAGGATGAGGAGGAGGTGGAGGAGGAGGAGGAGGAGGAGGAGAATGAGGCGGAGGAGGATGACGACGAGGACCGACGAGGACACGGACGAGGAGGAGGAGCTCCAGAAGGAGGAGGATTCGGAGTAGGAACAAGGATGAGGAAAATTAGCAAGAGGAGGAATAAGACGAGGAGGGGGCAGGAGGAGGAGGAGGGGGGGGAATGTGACTAGGAGGACGAAGGGGGAGGAGGAGGAAGGGCGATAACTTGTGAAAAGGGTGGAGAAGAAGAACGAAAAGGAGGAGGAGGAGGAGGAAGAGGAGGACGAGGAGAAGCAGGAGGCGGAGGAGGGGGAGGGGAAGGAGGCATGGGGGATGCGGAGCAGGGGATGGGGAACAAGAAACCGCAGGGGAAAGGGGGGGCGAAGAGGGGCCTTCCGACGACGACGACGACGGCGATGACGGCAGCAACGGCGGCCCGCAGCAGCAAACGGCGACGGCGACAAAGTTGTGACGGCAAATCCTCACCCCTCCCCTGGATCTTGTTCTTGCGAGCGCGGCTGGCCCTCTACCCCCGACTCCTGGGAATGGGGAAGAGGCTATGTTCAAACAGTATATCATATTATACATGTGCAGGCAGCCTGGGTGTGGCCGAAGATAAACATTTGTTGCCGCGTCTGTCTGCGCGCGACTGCACACGATGCGCACGGCACGGCTTGGGACAGGGAATTGGTGTTCCTCCATCGTCGGTCGGTCTGCTCTGTTCGGCCCCCGCCCGCCCTCGCCTGAAGCTTGCTGCAGAGCTGGCTGGCGCGATGGAGCAGAGGAAACATCTGACGATCAACCAAAAACGACGAGCACCAAACATGCACACCAATATTCACCGATACTAAAGCACAATGATAACCCGAAATAAATCAGCAACGTAGCCAATGACCACTGATTGTTACACAAGCGGTGTTTCCTCTGCTCCGTGCCCGGATGTGCGCCTCATTTCCTAATTGGCTTTGATGTCCCTCGATTCGTCGACCACTTTGGCGAGGGCCTTTCTCGGGTGGATGGGTTGGAATGGAGAGGGCGTCTTCAGGTCGTGGGCTAGAGTCATGCGCTACCCCCCAGGCAACGACAACCGCAAGAGGCGACGAAAAGGGGACCGACGAAGGGCCCGAAAGACGAGGCGAAGCGAGGGCCAGGGAAAGATCACCCACGGAGGGACCGATCGAGGAGGAGACAAGGCCCGAAACCATGCTGGGACTTTAGCGAGCGGAGGGGGAGGGCGGGGAGGAATTGTTTGTTCAGGGCCTTGCACAACCCTGTCGGGTAGTGCGCCGACCCCCTGAGCTCAGGGCCGCCCTCCATCCACCCCTTCTCGTTGACCGTCCAGCTCTTGTCGGACGCAGCCTGTGATAGGGCTCCTTGCCCCGTATTTCTCAACAATCCCCTTGCCGCCTGCCTCGATTCCCTTCTGAACTTGTTCCTCCTCCTCCTTCTCGCTCCTCGAACTATCCTCCACCTCTTCTCCACAAACGCCTCCTCTCTTCTCGTCCTGGTCATGCTCCTGTAATTCTATCGCTCGTCGTCGCGGTGCTCATCTGCTATCCTTTAGACTGCGCTGCTGAGCACGCAGAGGAGGTCGGGCAAAGCAAGAGTTTCAAGCGTTGCTGCTGCTGTCTCCCGTTAGTAAAAAAATCCTGGCCTTCTCTTTCGGCTTCGACTTCACCAGGTGTTCGCTCGCGAGGATGCCGATCTTGGCGTTGGTCTTGAAACGCGTGGGCTTCGGCATCGTGTGCCCGAAACCTGGGGGCAGGTGGGGGAGAGTCAACGTGCGTCCGTGTCATATTCCTCCCTCTCTTTCTTCAAAGCTTCCTCTGAGCCCAAATCCGAAACACTCACTGGCCACCGGATGCGGCGTTGCTTCTCTGACTTCTGGAGGGCGGGAGGGGGTGGCAATAGAGAGTCCAACATGGCATGTGTTTCTTTATCGCCGCAGCCTCCGAGCCACGTGAAGATCGAGCTCGGCTCAAGGTCTGCCTTCAGGCATGCCTGGGCGAAGACTGCCCTTCCTTCTTCTCTCTCCCCCTTCCATCTCCCCCACCCTCCACTCCCTGTCCTCCTCCTTCTCATCCCCCTCGTGCTCCTACTCATCATCACCCCCTTCCTCCTTCCACTCCTCGTCCTCTCATCTTTCCACTGATGAAGGTGTATCACTGCCGCCGCTGCGTGGAAGGAACAGGGGGGTCAAGGTTGGATAGCAATGGAGCGCACCCCGCTCACGTCGTGGCGGCGGTGGCGATACCCCTTCTCTATGGGCAGGGGAAGCGAGCGAATGGTTCTATGCTCGCCATTGCTGGGTGATTGTAGAAGCAACTGTCCATCGGCTGTTCGATGATCCAATGCACGTGGCGATCCTGTTGGATCCACTTGATGAGCGTGCACATGACACAGGCTGTGTAGTTGGCCTCCTTCACGTCGTAGCGCTTGGTGTCGCCAAGCACGTCCACGTTCCGTTTCGTCGTGCCTTGCCAGTCCGCTTCCCCCCGCAGGAAGAAATTCTTGCCCCGTATCCTCGATCGAGGATGCGAGGCACGAGTAAGTTTGGGATTGCGTGTTTCATGCCCCCGATGACCCATGCACAAGAACCCCCACGTCGAGCATTGTGGTGCCCACAGCACTGTGCCCGACTTCTTCACGCGAGCCAATAGAAGTCCTTGCTGTTTTTTTTCAGGGAAAGGGCGAACATTGACATCGAAAGGCCACCGATGAGACCCCCCCTTGCCATCCTGTTGGCAATAGGAGGTGAATGAGGATGGGCGATCAGGGTGTTGTATTTTGGCGAGGAGGAGGGCAACGTTGAATTGTGTGTTTGACGTCAAGCTTCACCTGGACCCGTCCCGCCTCAACTCCGACTCTCCCAGGCCGTCCCCATCCTGTCACAATCATCCTATCTCCCCCCTCCATTCTTCTCCTGTTTGTCTTGCCCACCCACCCCCTCTCACGTTCCTCACCTGGACACGCAATCGACCCCGTTCAGAGTATGGAGGGAGGGCGCATAACGAAGCAAGCAAGCGGCGATAATCGATCGATCAACTCGCCTGATCTTCCTTCCCGTCACACCCTCTCCTCTTCCCTGGGCACCCCCCTCGGGGGCAT